TTTAAGAGTAATTTCTGAGCACACATTGTACGAACTAATGAGCAAATTGCGAAAGCAGAAGTTAGAGAGCTGCTCCATAACATCAGACAGACTTGGTTGTTAACAGTTGAAGACATTTTAAACTCACTCTGTGTGTATACACACACACACACACACACACACACACACACACACTTATACATGAAGGCTAAACCACTGCATTTGTCTTACGGACCTCACTGCAAATTAATTACAGCCTGTTTAGTTGCACTTCTGCTGACTCCAAGAGCTCTAACCCACAAAACAGGATAAGATCTTGAGGTGGATGTGTGTTGGGCAGAGATACAAAGTTGTGAAACTTGATTTTCATTTCAGTGACTCAACTACTGGCTAGTGAAGGCGTTACTTGCTTTGGCTCTGATGAGTTTTGTTAGTGCCAACAAACTGTCTCCACCTCAAGGAAGTTTTGAGGAGAATCTTGAAGCCATTCCAGGATATGCCTTGAGAACTGCTTTGGTTCAAACCAGAACTATCCAGGTAATTTCAGTAATACAAGGATGGCTGATTTAGTGCAGTAATGTGGTAAAACTTTGGGCCTATTTAGTCACAGTGGAAATGAACAAATCTATAGAGCTTCTGTGTGCTGAGGACAAAAAGGAAAATTTCCCCACAACTGTTCTCAGAAGTCATGGAAAAGAGTCACAGAATGGACAGAAGAGAAGCATTCTGCAAAGAAATCCACAGTGAGCTTGGGTGGCGCAGGAAGGGAAAGAAGCTCCTATCATGCATTCCTGGTTAAGTGTGGCAGTGGCAGTCACATAACTGCCAAGACCTCCTCTGCAACTGCTTAAGCAGCAGTTGCATTTGCAAAGATGTGAAGAAATTATTATGATGTGGAACGGGTGGAAGATTTTCTAGCTTTTTTAAAAAAAGAAAAATTAAATCTTGATTTTTATTTTAAACCAGACAGTAATGGCAAAAGCTGTCTCTTGAGAGAACTGGTATGTTCATGCTTTTCACTTACTTAAAATGTCAATTTGAGATCTGTTGCTTTATCCAGTATGAATTTGCTGTAAGTGCAGATGGATGCACCTGGTCAAATATGAACTCTCTCTTTCATGTGGAAATGCCAAACAGCATGATTTAACAAATTCCAGTACATGAGAATCTGTTTTAGGTTACTGCCATGCGTCTAAAAATAGGTCTGATATGCCTTTGCAGGAGTAATGCAAAAAGCACTGTTATGAGTGTCTTCCTTATGCTTCTGTTGCTACCTTGTCCTCTCTAAGAAGAGAGAGCCTTGTAAAGAGGGCATTAATGGATGGGATTTAGTGGGATATGTAGCCAGTTTTGATTTGGACTTTAAAATTGGATAACAAGCAAATCAATCACCCACAGATTTAAAGATTTTCTGGAATGAGTATCTTGGTGGCCACAACTTCTGTTGTTGTGCTGAAGTAGGTGTGTTCAGATTGTAGGAGACTCAGAACTGGTTTGTGTTTCCAATGATTTGTAGCTTTTGGTGATGCACCGAGTTGTAGAAAGATTTAACTATGTATAAATAGTCTTTCTGATATAAATTTCTGTTTCTATCTTGCTTTCCACATTAACCTATATTAAACTGGAAGTCAAAAGAGCCCCATGGAGAACTTTGGAGGAATTACTAAACAGTCTTTGAATTAACTCCTGTGACAGTCACTGCTTACAAGACCAGTGATTGATGTGTTGGGAGAAAAGCTGCACCTTTCAGGGCCAACTGGAACATCTTACTGTGTTGTTCTAAGTTCACCTTGGACAGTTTCTCCTGAATACTGAATGACACAAACTTCTGTCTGGCCTCTTGGTGCTGACTGATTTCTCAGCAATGAAGTCTTGATAGAAGCACAGGCATTGGTCCAGAGGTCTGAGGCCTCAGAGGCCTGCAGCTGGATGCAATGACACATTTTTTCCCAATTATATGCAAACGTATACATGTTCAGTATACAGTACACTCAGACAACCGATGGAGCAATTGAGGTGACAGGTTGGGTTGTAAAACTACTCAGGAAAACAGCTCACATAATTCTTAAAAAAGTCTAGGAAAGATCCTCTGCTCTGTGAAAAATGCATACTTTCCTCCTGAATCACAATTTGGCAGTACTGATTGTTATGTGTGTTCTTTCAGAAGTGTACTTTCAGTTCATAGTGATTAGTTTCTATAAAATGAGTGCCAGAGAGTACTTTGGAAGTTACTTTAAAAGTGTGGTCATGACACATATCAGAATATGGATATAGTGATGTGTGCCACATTCTACAAATAACCATTTTATGTAGTATTTATCAAATATTCCAGACACCCACTATATAAGTTGTTACACTTCCTTGAGACTGATGGGTTTCTGGCATGCTCCTTATTCTCTTGCTATGTGGTGGAGAGATTTCGTGATCATTGCTGGCTACTGGGTGACTCTTCTTTCTCTTACTCCCCCAGGTTGCCAACTTTCAAGCTTTGTGAAGCTTAATTTGAAGCATTGCTGTTATCCTATAGTTAGATATTGTGAAGAAACATATTGTGCAGATAAACACTTAGAAAAATCTTTGTTTTTAAATTTCTATGGCCTATGAAGTTTCCCCAATAGAGCTAATCACCTTAACATTAAACTTGACTCAAAACCAGTGAGGGCAAAAGCAGATTAAAAACTATGTTGTGCAGCTAAAATGGAGTTTGCAAAGGCTTACAAACACACAGTAATAGGAATAGAAGTTTACTCCTTTAGCTCATAAAGGGTTTTCTCCCCATTTACATTATCAGATAAGCTGGTAAACATTTCACACCTTTCCTCCCTGAGAGCTCCATTGCTCAAGCCAGCCCTTCATCTTGATACTGAAAACATGGAAGAAGCAGTATGAGAATTAGTGTTGGAACCAAGAGGGAGGAAAACTAACCCTTCTAATACAAAAATGTCCAAGCTTCCCATTTGAAAAAGAGTAATGGTTATCTGAGTCTGGATCACAGCTCTTATCTACCATTTAAGAAGTTAAAACATGCTTTCCCACATTTTTAAAACCCATAATCAAGTTGACAGTCCTTTCACACTCATTGGGAAATTGTTCAAACCTCGAGTTGAAGCTTCTTGTTACATTACATTTTTATTATTCCTGTTAAAATGTATGTTTACTTCAACCAGAAGGTAAATAAAATTAATGAATGTGAATCTTGAACAAAAGCAGATACAGGAATAAACAATCACTGAATACCCTACAGTCATGTCTTTGAGGAGGGAATAAAAGTATGCTTATGGGAACCAAAATGAAGGAGATGAAGGCAAGCACAGGGGAAAAAGGTTCTGAAAACTATGGACAAGGAAACAGTTTCAAGGAAACTTCACCCTGGAAAATTCAATTTCTGTTTGAATAAGTTTAGCTTTGCTACCAGACTAAACAGTGAGAACTGTATAGAGTTTCTACAGAAACCTGAACGAAGAAACTATTGTTTGAACCAAAAAAGTGATATCCTGGCACAGTGGAAGGGATAGCTGATCAAACCAGAAAAAAAGTAAACACTTAGAATCATAGAATCAAATAATGGTTTGGCTTAGAAGGAATCTTAAAGATCATCCATTTCCAAGTCCAGCTTACATGGTGAAGAGCAAATAGGCTCTGTTCTAAAAAGAGAGGGTGAGCAACTTCAGGTGATGGAACACAGGAATGGTGGCAGCAGAGACTTACACTGCCTGCTCTGGTGAGTACCAGACAGAGATAACAGTGCCTGGACTCCCTTTATGAGTGGGGTGATGAATTGCCAGGGACTAGTTTCTCTCGTGTGAATTTCCCAGAGCAGGCATAATTAAGCCTGGTATTCCCTGGGTGCACAGGTACAATCTGTTTCTTTGAATGCATGAAATATCTCCGCTTCCACCAGGCTGCCGAATGGGCATCAGCGCTGCTCTGCAGTAAAGCCGGGCGCTGAGCTGGCCACAGGTCTCTCACGCTTTCTTTCCAAGGTCAGCCCAGCCAAGGCTTGCCGTGAGCCCCGAGAGCAGCCTGAGCGAACACTGCGCTGAAATCAGCTCGCCAGTCCAGGGATCACAGCCTGAAGGGGAACCGAACCCCGGAGCGCCGCCAAAGGAAGTGGGCCGATGCCTGAGAAAACGGCTTAGCCAAGCTGCGGGGAGATGCGTCGCAGGAGGTTATACAGGATACCCGTGAGGAGCAGCCCGCCCCATGCCCGGTGCTGCGTGCCCTCGGTACTCGGCGGGGCTCCGCAGGGCCGGCCGGCTCCCAGCGGCCATTCACGGCCCCTCACGCCTTCCGCCGAGCCTGCCCGGGCTGGTCCGGGGGCGGTCCGGGACCCGTCCGGGGGCGGTCCGGGGGCGGTCCGGGTCGGTCCGGGAGCGGTCCGGGGGCGGTCCGGGTCGGTCCGGGGCGGTCCGGGACCCGTCCGGGGGCAGTCCGGGACCGGTCCGGGGGCGGTCCGGGACCCGTCCGGGGGCGGTCCGGGACCCGTCCGGGGGCGGTCCGGGACCCGTCCGGGGGCGGTCCGGGTCGGTCCGGGACCCGTCCGGGTCGGTCCGGGTCGGTCCGGGGGCGGTCCGGGTCGGTCCGGGACCCGTCCGGGGGCGGTCCGGGGCGGTCCGGGTCGGTCCGGGGCGGTCCGGGTCGGTCCGGGTCGGTCCGGGACCCGTCCGGGGGCGGTCCGGGGCGGTCCGGGTCGGTCCGGGGGCGGTCCGGGACCCGTCCGGGTCGGTCCGGGGGCGGTCCGGGACCGGTCCGGGAGCGGTCCGGGGGCGGTCCGGGACCGGTCCGGGGGCGGTCCGGGGGCGGTCCGGG